GATGTAAAGACATCACATTTAATGGATTTTGTGCACAGCTTGCACATTATCTAAACAGTCAGGAATTTAAAATCGTATTTATATTTGGATCCTTGCTTTCACTGCTTGTTCTGTTTTCAACATGTTACTATCTGTCTTTTTACACTAATTGAATATTAGATTTGCAGATCTGAGAACACACAAAAATTATTTTTTTTCACAGACATTATTGACAGAACCACCACTGAACTGTCTAAATTAAAAAAAAAAAGTTTATCTATCTTTTGACCAAAGATTTTCCTAACTTGTTTGCTTGTGTTTTAAATGCTATTATTTGACCACCAGGATTTGTTATTACAATACTTCAATAATAAAATGAGGTTCTGAGGCTAACAGATGCCGAAAACTGTGCTACATTTTAATCTTTGGTCAAAAGTTGCAAATTTTGCATATGAAATGTGGGCTAGAGAAATGCTCAGTGAGATGGACTGAAAGTTGGCTGAACTGCTGGGCTTAGAGGGCTGTGACCAGTGCCACAAAGTGCAGCTGGAGGCTGGTCACCAGTGGTGTCCTGCCGCAGGAGATACTGCGGCCAATGCTGTTTCAACTCTTCCTTAACGACCTGGATGATGGAACCTCACACAATTTCACAAAGTCTGTGGGCAAGACAAAATTGGGAGGAGTGTCTGCTACACCAGAGGGCTGTGCTGCCATTACAGGATCTTGACAGGCTCCAGACATGGGCAGACAGGCACACCCTGAGGCTCAAAAAAGAGAAGTGACAAGTCCTGCCCCTGGGAGGAATAACCCCAGTCGCCAGGACAGGCTGGGTCTGACCCACTGGAAAGCAGATTGGCAGAGAAGGAGGTGGGGAGTGTGGGTCATCAATGCACCCTTGTGCCAAAGAAAGCCAATGGTATCCTGGACTGCATTAGCAAGAGTGCTGTCCAGCAGGTCGAAGCAGGGATCCTTTCCCTCCCCTCGGTGCTGGTGAGGCCACATCTGGAGCGTTGGGTCCAGTTCTGGCTTCCCCTCTGCAGCGGGGAGATGGGCTCACTGGAGCGAGTGCAGTGAAGCACCATAAAGATGATGGAGACACTGAAGCATCTCTCACACAAGGAGAATCTACGGCAGCTGGGACTGCTTACCCTGAGGAGGGGAAGTTGCAGAGATCTAATCTATGGAAAGGCTTAGAAAAGTTGGACCCAGACTCTTCTCAAGAGGGGCCACTCTTGCCCACAGGACAAGAAGCAATGGGTACGAACTGAAGGAAGATCTGTCTGAACATAAACCAGTAAATAATATCAGCAGTTCTAAAAGTGCCACCAGCACCAGCTGGGGTTGCAAAAGATATGAACATCGTTTGATGGAAAATGAGATGTAAAAAATGTCAAAACAACATTTGAGAGCCTCCAAAATTTGAAACCCTTCAGTTTGAGCTTCTCTAGTTTCTAACAGCAGTCAAAATCACAATTACTTTTTCTACTGTTTATTTTCATTAACATCAAGGATATATACAAAAAGAGACCAAGAAATCTGTTAAATCATTTTATCTGCCTCTTCAATACATGCAAGATATAGAATTCTATCACTAAAATATTTCCTATATTTACAACTCTTTTTATACCTTTGGCAAAGACTTTCAAATCTGTATCAGACGAAATTTAGGAAATGATTTGGATTCAATTTTTTGTTTGGCAATTCAGCTTTTCAAGGCTTAGGAAGAATTATATGGTCCTCCAACACACAGAAAAACATTTCTGAGATATGATCTAAAACATGACTTTTCCTACTTGTAGTTGTAAGGCACCTTCTAAATAAGTCCTATGTTTCTAGGGAGATATTTCCTAAAATATCAGAAGATCATCCTTGAAAATTAAAATTCCTAAAGGATTTTTGATAATTATCACATTCATGGGGGTTGAAATATGAAGACATGTGTCCCTCTGTTGAAATTTATTGCTAATTGAGTTTGATTTTTCAGCCTTACTTAATTGATTAACACATTAATGGCCCCATCTGTTGCACCAATACGTGAGGAACAAAACAGTAAGAATAACTGCTGTAAAAATAGTTTGAGACATTGCAAACATGATTGTTTGTGGGAGCAATTAACATTCAAATTGTACTCCACACTATAAAGCTAAGCTTGTCTGAGCTTAGCTGTCATTTTTCTGAGTCTTTATATATTTTAAAACAAATGTATTAATTGCAGCTAGGGTTGTGTCTGACACAATTGTCAAATCATTGTTGAAGTAATTTCATAAGTTTATTTCCCTCACTCAGATGTGTCTTCTTAATAAGCCAAGCTTGGTTTGCAACATCTGGTTCATATGAAGTGGGGCCACATAGAATAGTCTGTGAATAGAGCAGTAAGAAATTCCTAGGTTATTCCTATCATGCCCTTTCCAAACTAGCATTTACAATCCACTGAACTCTGAATTCTGAAAATTAGTCATGGAACTATTTGACACTCAAATCCTAAATTCATTAACTACTAATTTAACTCTGAAATTAAACAGGCTGTGTAATTCTATATTTAAAGTAGACTAAAAGAGATAGTGAGCTGGCAAAAGCAATAGGTTATTTAAAAATGAAGAAAATATTTTGTTTTTAAAAAAGTAATAAAATAACAGTCATATAAAAAATAGTAATTTTGACTTGTACTAAACCACTCCTCTGATAAACAATATGTTTAAATAAAACTGTTGATTCAGAATGGCTTTTGATCTGTGTTCAGTAAGATTTCCAGTCAAAATATAAACTGCATTTAGGTAACACTTATTTTTTATGAGAAAGGAGGGCAAGGGCTTTTATACAACATTACTTGAAAGTAATAAAAAGAATGAGATTTCAAGTACATAATACCTTTGACAAATGTACAAATGATACTTCTTTTTTCATGAAATGGCAAAAGAGTGATTGTGTTTGTTTAATATATAACTGATGATACATTCATATTATTACAAATTGACTTGATTACAGAATGTATTCAAGTCTTTATTAAAAAAAACATGTGGTTTATGCTTTAAAAAATGTATTTAAAAGTATGGTACACTAAATTTCCATTTCACATGCAATACTACAAAAGCACTACATCAAAAGCAAAGATCACCTAAGTCTATATAATTTACTTGTTAATTTCTAGTCTCAAGGCTATTAGGACAAATTTTGGTAAAGCAAAGATTTTTCAGGACTAAGACATCCTACTTATAAATTGAATCCTGAAGTTCTATTACCCCTTCGGTGCATCTTATAGTAAATTCTTTTATTTTACATAAAAACTAATCCTTAGAATTACTTAGAATACTTAGAAAAGAAATACTTAGAATTTAGGGCTGTAGATACTAATAATCTAAAAAGGATGTCTCAAACCTTGCTTTCAAAGTGGTAATAGCATTTTAGCTGGTGTCTTTATATGCCATTTAGTTCTACTGATGCATCTAAATGGTGCAACAGAGAACTGTCACAGCACAGTTGGGTTTACTGGTCCCCAACTATTCTGACTATAAGTGGCCACAACCTGCAGTGTTCTGTAGTATCCTTGATTTCTGTAATACCTTTACTGCAGTTAAGCTTTAAAATTACAGTAATGTCATGAGAGAAGTATGGTCTAAGATTCCCATTTTTCTATGACAATCTGCATTAATTACCTAATTTTCCCCCATCTTTTCACCCAGTCGGATATTTATAATAAAAATATCTAATGTGAAAGCATCTGCATGCTCATAACCATTATTCTATTAAAAAAAAGAGAGAGGAAGTGATGTAAAAAGAGTTTTCAAATATATAGAACCCTACAGAACCCAAAAAGAAAAAAAGTAAATTTCACTTTTCCATGTGAATAGTACAAAGCAGTGGTCTTAAGTTACAGCATGAAAGATTAAAATTGCAAGTTAGGAAACCCTCACTGCCAATAAGATACTGAAGATCAGGAACCAAGCTACAAATTAAATAGTACTCCACAATGGCCAATGACAGACCGATCGGGTCCTGTGCAGTGGAATGACAGAGATAAAGGAAAGAGCAACTGAGGAGAAACAGATTCATTACTTCCAAGTACAGATGCAGTTTCATCAGTCTGGTAGGCAGATTGTGTTGCTTCATTATTTTAAAGTTATCTTGTTCTGATTTATGGTCTGGTCAAACAAAACTTTATGATCAAAAACCCACTTGGTCTTCTTGATGTGCTCACATCAGAGAAGAGGAGTAGAAAAACACATTTCAAGGATTCTTCAACAAACACACACAGTGACACAGATTTATAAAAGAATTTTAGCTTAACGTAATGTTTGACACTTGCCTAGAAGCCTAAGAACATTTTTTAAAACTGACATGGCAGATTCAGAAATTCCATCATTTTGCAAAGAAGTTGTAGTTGCAAAAAGCTGAATGTCTCAGACAATAGTCAAGTTTTTATGACTTAAAGGTAACCATGTGGCAATTGAACCGTCACTACTGTCAGAGTTCATGCTTTTAGCCCAGGTCTCTTTTGAACTACATTTCCATTTAGGCCTGGTACACTAACTTTCAAGGTTCTTTAGGAATATTTCTTCATCCACATTGAAGATGATGATAAAATATTTTCACAACGTGATGATGAAACACAACATGAGATGAAGCAGCCAGAGCACAACATGAAGATGGTTGAGGGTACAAGGTATATTAGAATATATAGTTGTTAGATGGAGTGAGACCTTATGTGAATCTGTTCATAGTATCTATACAAAGAGTCGGTTTTAATCATCAATGGGAACAGAGCTAGCTGACCAAGAAGAAATTCTGGCAGCAATCCAGTATGCATGGAATGTCAGTGATGTAATTAGATTTTATATCTCTTTGCATGTAAGCAAATAAGATATTAAATCTCTCTGGTTAGGCACGAAGAGCTTATATTTTCTATTAGGACAAAAGATAGGCGATTACTTCATTATATAGAAAATAATGATAATTTCTCTTTAGGAATGAATTTACCAGCCCCAGAGTGTAAACAGATGACAAAGTGATTAAAAAGATAACTCTTACCTAGTGCAGGTCCCACCATTGCGACATGGATTATAATCACATATGGGAACATTGCAGTTCTCCACATTCCTTCCTCCAAGAGCCTCATCGATGATGAACAATTCTTTATTGTTAACTTGAAAATCCCTAACGCATCCTTTATAGCCAAGTATCTGTCCAGCACACCGATGAACCTCTGCATGAACAGGAACATTTCCAAGGAAGATTGATCCAAAGGTGATCTGCAGAAACAAGAAGTGAAACAGAAAAAATAATGTGTTTTATATATTGCACAATGTAACTATGAGCAATGGAGGAATAGCAAGAGATAAAGGAAGTAGTCATACTTTTTGGCTGATGAGAGTGTTTTTTAAAATGTGATTCTCTATTTCAGACAAAGGCACTTTTTTATTTGCATCTTCACATGTGTAAAATACAACATACACACATCCCAGGAAGCACAAATTGGAATTCCTTGTCTTAAACAAAACAGACATAGCAAGGTTTTCTTATACTTCTCCCTATTATACATTATGAGTTTTACACTTTCATTGAGGGTTGATGCAGAAACACTGGTCAATAAGACAATAAGGTTAGAGATTAGATTAGAGATTGGACTAAAAAATAGATTAGTGAATAGTTTACAGCAATTCTTTAGAATCTGGAAATTCTGGGATGCCAAAATAGAGATTTTTAGATTTCTGGATAAGTGACAAAAAAAAAAGGACTGCAGTACCGAAGTTCAGGGGAGAAGTGAAAATTAGTAGCAGGGAATGGTAGTAAATTCTAGCAACATCCTGTTCTAACACAGGTTTTCACAATGTCTATCTTCGTTTGCTACTAAGAATTGAAAATATAGTAATTCTAGGATAAGTGTTTCTCTCTGAAGTTGTGGAAGAATTGTTTGAAAGCAGGAACTGAGAGGAAAACTAGGGCCTAACAGAAGTTTTGGCATTACAGAGACCTGCTTGGGGTGCTACACAGTTGCCACTTCCAGGACGGTTGGTGCGCACGGACTCAGCTCCTCCACGCTTCCCTGGGCAGCACAATCTGCCCTCCTCGCAGCTGCAAAGGGGAGTAACGGAGGATGGAGCGGAGTGAAGACACCGTGGCCAAACTCTGTTGCACTCCCTGTGCTGGGCCGCTGATAAGCCGCACAGTGGCTGTCTAATGAGAGATATACGATAACAAGTCCGGTGCTGAGCCAGCAAAGTGGCAAATCACTCCTTTCAGATGAACTTTGCTTGAACTTTGCTCATTATAATGTGAAAACCAGACTTCCATCCCAAAAGTTACCTGCCTCCGAGGTACGACCACCCCTCACTGAGCATGCGCTCTAGATTTTCGGTTGACTGTACTTTTAAATGAAAGCGAGAAACTTTTTCACCAATCAATAACAATATTAAGTATGACTCTAGTTATTCAAGCTCCACCTGAATGTAAAGAAAAGTGTAAAAGGTGAACTAAGGATGAAAAGCGGGGGGAAGAATCCATCGTAACTCCTGGGTCACTCGACAGGCTGAGCCCCCTTCACTCCCCTCGCGCTGGGACGCTGCCTGAGGAGACTAAGGAGTGAGAGGGAAGAATCCATCATAAATTCTGGGTCAGTTGATGCGCTGATCTCCCCTTTCCTCCCCTTGCGTCAGGACACCGCCTGAGAAGACTCGAGACTGAGAGCCCTCTCCCATCTTCTGGGGTGAGTGATGATTTCACATTTGTACATCAGAGCTAGCTAAAAACCCCATGTTGTAGTAGAGAACTTCCTGTACTGATATCTGAAACCTGCTTTGTAAATGTTGTATTTGAATAAATCATACTGTTTGTGAACTTGGCTACTTGTTTGGGGGGAGGCGATCGGACCCACAGTTGACAGACTGTTCGTGAATCCGATACTGCCAGAGTCGAGCTTATAGTTGATTACACTATTTGGAAACTCGATTCGCTCCTAGGAAGGCGATCGGACCTACTGTCCACGGACTGTTCGTGAATCCAATACTGATTTGATATCTCC